GTTCCTAATTAGAGGGTTGATATGGTTTGCCAGACGTGAGAAGAATCGCTTGTAATATATAACCGACTCCTCTTCAATCGTTTTGACATGTAGATCGTTGTGGAGGGTTAAATTAGAAATGTATGGTGGAGCGTTAGTGAGCTGACGTAGAGTGATATTCTGATAAGATTGAATTTTATTAAGATTCGATTTCTTTGCCGCACCTCAAAGTTGTAGACCATAAGTCCAGATTGGTTTTAGAAATGTTTTGTAAATTAGTAGTTTATTTTTTAGGCTTGAACATTTATTTTTTGATAACAAGGTTTTGAACATACGAGAACGAGAGTTTAGAATTAGTCTTTTGGATCTGATGTGTGGATTCCAAGTCAATCTTTTATCTAAGATAAGGCCTAAATATTTTACTGTATCGGAAGTGGGTATAGGTATGTTATCCAATGAAACTGGAGGTGTTGGCCATGTTTCAGGGTGAAGGTGGTATGTATTGACTTGGCGTGATTCAGTTTTATTCTCCACTTGGTGTACCAAGATGAAATAAGATTAAGATGAGTTTGTAAATTACCAGAGGCTATTAGGGGATTTTCGTGAATTGAAATTAAAGCTTTGTCATCAGCGTAATCAGCAACAATGGTGTTTTCAGTGACGGGTTGATCAGAGGCATAGATGTTAAACAATAATGGAGATAGGATACCACCTTGGGGTACACCTGCATTTATCATAGCCATTTGTGAAGTACATGTTCCAATGCGAATTTGAAAGTATCGATCGGTGAGGTAGGATTTAGTTAGGAGAAACAGGGAAGGTGGAAGAAAATTACGAAGTGTATAAAGTAAGCCATCGTGCCATACCCGATCGAATGCCTGTGATATATCTAAAAAAACACAGGAACAATATTATTTACGTTCCAGCGAGGTTGATATAGAATCAACCAGGCGGTGTACATGATGAATTGTGTTGTGTTTAACGCGAAATCCAAATTGAGATGAAGGAAGAATGTTATTTGAGATAACATGTGGGAATAGTCGATGAAGAATAAGCCTTTCGCAAATTTTTGAAAAAAATGGTAAGAGGCTTATTGGTCTATATGAGTTTGGAGCATCTGGAGGTTTGTTTGGCTTTGCAAACATGAAAATGTGTGAAAATTTCCACATAAGTGGGAAATATGATAGACGAAATATTGCATTAAAAATATAAGTCAAAAGGACTATTGCATTTTTGGGTAAACATTTTGCAACCTCTGCTGTTATAAGGTCGAAACCGGGAGCTTTTTTATTCGAGTGTTTTAAAATTCTATTTTTAATCTCGTTTGGTGTGGTGTATTTCACGGGAGGTCCATTAGGTAACGGAGAGTCTAAATATTTTCAAACATTATCTATGTGTTGAGGGTCTAGAATATCAGCGTGAGGTTGAAAAATATTTGATAAATGCGTTTTGAATACTTCTGCTTTTTCTGCATCACTAATAGCTAATGTATTGTCTGCTTTTTTAAGAGGAGTTGAGGGAGATTTGTATTTTAAATGCTGTTTAGTTTCTCTCCAAAGGGAACCGTTTGCAACAGATAGGTTGTGCAATTTTTGCTCGAAAGCATTGGCTTTATGTTTTGTAAGGATTTTTTTCAAAGAATTGGCAAGTTTGTTATAGGCGGATTTGTGTGAAGGAAGACGAGAGAGGTGGTACCTTGCTCTCGCTCTACGTGTCTCTAAAGGTTAGTCACTTTTGTCACTTATAAAACATACATTGAACATCTGTTTGTAACATCTCTACAATGAATAAATATGATGTTTCTTACACATTAAAATGGAACATCTATGAAACATCACCAATATTTCATAGATGTCTCAATGTGATGCCATTAAAAATATCCCTGTGCTGTTTTGACCAATTGTTATATAGTTGTTTTACCAAATACATATAATTTAGGAAGGAGTAATTGATCTCCTACCTCCGAAATTTTTTTGCATTACTTAATACTTATGGCATAAATAATAAATATATCTGCATAAATTTTTACTAATTAAATATTGATTGTTTTCAAAAACAACAAAACAATTTAATAATTCCAATTTATTTAGTTAATAAATAATAGGTATACAATTAATAATGTATTTTACAAAATAACATAAATGATAATATAATAAAAACAAAAGAATAGAATATTAACTTTGAATGATTTAAATATACTAATAGAAAAGTTATGTTATATTATGTTAATATAATAAAATGAAATAAAATGGTCGAATAAAATAAATTTATATAAATACAAAAAAAACAATTAAGCTTAATATAAAAATTAAAATAGCACAATTTTAAAACTTCTGTAAATACATCATTAAAAAGTGTTTAGATACTTCTAAATAGTATAATATATTAGTTAGATTATTATCAAACAAAAAGAACACAATTCAATTTATCAAATATGTATTTATATATACATGAACACAATACAAAAAATTGAAATTATATAATGAAAATTAAAGATAAAAATAATTATAGGTACTCTGAGTGACACATTGATGAAATCAATGCCAAATTGTTGGATAGTCTAATAAAAAACATTTATATTTTATATCAGTTGGGTTCTATCACTGGATGGCCTCCCTCCTCATGTGTTCATGTTGTAAATTAATAGTACGTTGTGTGCTCAAATTTGCTTATTATGCCTTATTGTAGCATAGATTGTAAATATTCTAATAAAATAAAATAAAAAAAAAAAAAAAAATTAATACAATATAATTCTGACATTTTGGATGTATCAACAATGTATACCCCAATTTTAAAAGAAGATTCTGGTGTATTAGTAAATTCAGAACAGCTAAGGAACTGTTTTACAATTTTTTTTTTTTTTTTTATTTTTTTTTTTTTATTACAATTACAAAATACATACAATTGAATAAAAAAAAATTATATACCTTCCGTAAGCATAGCTTGTGTCGAAGGTATAGAGTTAACTATTTTATATAAATATAATATGTAAATTTACAAATTGATTTTAGGTGATTACATACTTATTATGAACAATACAATATATTAAATTATTTCTTATAGATTAGGTTTTTAAGAGAAAAAAAAGAAAAAAAAGAAAAACAGATTACAGAGTTTAAATTACAGATATAAATAATTATTGATCTAAAGACATAAACAACCATTTTACGACTAATGTTTTGGCATTAAAAATTTTACAGACAATGTTTTTTTTTGTAATTATAGGCATAGAATTAAAATAGGTAGGACCAAGGTAGTCCACGAATTTTTGACCAAATGATTTTTTAAAATAACTAACTTTTGCATCAAAAGCTACTGTTTCTCTTTTATTTAGATTTAGCCAGTTATTAGAGTTATTTACTACCCATAAGATAGCAATTTTCTTGAAAAGTAGGTCTACTGGTAATACATTAAATAATTTGAAGTTAGTAGAGGTTGAACCTTCAAGGGTGGATTTATGTAAACATATACGAACTATTTGCCTTTGATGTATTAACAATGGTTTCAGTGCATTAGCTGAGAGACCTCCCCAAATTAATAGTCCATATTGTATTATAGCTTGGTATAGGGCTAAATATATTGTACGAATTACATGCATTGGTAAAATCTCGCGTAATTTATAAAAACTATGACTCAAAATACGAAGACGCATTAATAAATTATTAACATGCAGATTCCACCTCATGTGTTTATCAATTGTTAAGCCCAAATAACGTATACTTGAGACTCTATATATGGTTTTACAAAGTTTATCATTGCACAAATTATGGCTGTCACAAAAGTGTATCTTTAAATTATCGAAATGTTCTTCTTTGTTATTTACCGTGAAATTCACAAACATTGTTTTATTATAATTTATTGATAGCTTTCTATAATTTATGAACTCTACTACTTTTTTAAATTCTTTTGTTGCTTTTGTACGCACCTCATTCCAGGAGTCTCCTGAGAAGAGGAGACACGTGTCATCGGCATATGTGACGATAAGTCCCTCAATATCTAGACTACAAATACTGTTAATATATAGGATAAATAGAATTGGGCCCAAAACACTACCTTGAGGAACACCGCAGTTTATATACATTTTATCTCCGGTAATACCATTTATTCTAACCATTTGTCTTCTATTTTTCAAGTAACTCCGAAACCAGTCTAAGCTTGATGATACGAAACCAAAATTTGGCAAAATTTTTAAAAGTTCTAGATGATCCACCGTATCAAATGCTTTGGCCAAATCTACGAAAATTGCCAGAGCTTTTTTATTGTTGTCCAGAGCATAATTTATAAAGCGTGTTGCGCTATATAGAGCATTTTCTGTCCCTAGACCTGGTCTAAATCCAAATTGATTTTTAGATAAAAGTTTAAATTTTTCTAAAAATTGTATAAGCCGATTCTTGATGATTTTCTCAAATATTTTAGAAAAATTGCTTAGCATAGAAATTGGTCTGTAGTTATTTAAACACGATTTGTCGCCTTTTTTAAATATAGGTTTAATTACTGCTAACTTGAATTCTTCTGGAAATATACTATTTTTGATACTTAGATTATATATATGTGTTAAAGGACCTATTATATCATTAGCTACATGTTTTAATATTTTAATCGATACTCCATCACATCCAGCTGCAGTTTCGTCTTTAAGATTTATAAGAATATTATGAACATCTGATTTTTTAATAATTTCAGTGAAACAATTGTTGAAAGAGACTCCAGAAGTAGTCTCATTGTATATCAAAGTAGACTTAATAATATCATTTGATAGTGATTTCCCTAAATTAGTAAAATAACTGTTAAATGTGTTGGAAACCATGTACGGGTCGTCACAAGTATTTATAATTTTATTATTCACTTTAATATGACTAATATCCTCCTTATTAGAAGTATGCTTTCCTGTAATCTCATTTATTACTTTCCAAGTAAGTTTAGGGCTGTAAGATAATTTATTAAATTTATTTTTAAAATATGCATTTTTTGCTGCTCTTAATATTTGTCCGACTTTTTATTTTTTTTATTCTATCGTCAATATGGAGGAGTACCTTTGTTTTTTGCAAAACCATTACGAAGCTAGTGTTAGACGGATGATCACCAATAATGAACGAAGGATCATCATTGATCTTGCGCGGTTTAGAGATCATCTTCCGAGCAAGAATAAGGCATTGTTCCAACAATATCGTGAGGAGGAGGTGCTGTTGAAGCTGGCACTCAAACAAGTTGTCGAAAAAATCAACCCTGAGTACTCAAATAGGTACGAAGAGTTTTTTGTCGGCTTTGAGGGCAGTTTCGGCAGTCACCACGTTACACCTCAGACGTTAAATAGTAATTTTATAAATAAATTAGTGTGTGTCGAAGGTGTCGTCGCGCGGTGTCATGTCGTACGCTCGAAGTTGGTTAAATGTGTTTATTTTTGTCCAACTACCGGAAAAACAATGATCGTTCGTTCCGCAGTTCAGCCAAAAATGAAGGATTGGGAACTTCAGTATGGCTTGTGCGAGTACAAGGACGTACAAGAAATTACTATCAGGGAGGCGTACGAGAATACATCGCCAGGAAGAGTGGCACGCGAAGTGATTGTCTCATGTGAGTACGACTTGGCAGATAGTTTTAAGATTGGAGAAAGGGTCCTAGTAGTTGGGGTGTATTGTTGCCTTGCACCTTCCCCATCCACTGCATACTGTAGAACATTTTTGGTGGCCAATAATGCTGTACAGATGCCTGACGTGTCGACCCATTGTACTTTAGAAGACGTCACACAATGCCGGGAGTTGGCTAAACGCAAAGATGTAGTGGAACTATTGTGTCGGTCGTTTGCACCATATATTGTCTGCAAAAGCGTTTTCGACAACACGCCGAGCTCTGGATAATCGATAGTTAAAAATGCGTCGATGGTTTGTCAACTCATGTTGGCTAAATGGCTTCATTAAATTAGATTTTAGTGAAAATGCCTCGTCACTAACAAATACATATGGATATGTTCCACTAGTGTTTGGTAAACATGACGGTAGTGGAATATTAAGTGTATTGTTTTCAAACTTTTCCCAAAATTTTGTATAGTAAAGTACACCTCCATCTGATATTCTACCATTTGCTCCAACGTCAACCATAGTGAATTGATAATTCGCATTAACTATCGCCATGAGGACAATACTAAATATACCTTAATAATATTTAAAAAATAATTAATAATTAATATAATTTATTATTATTATTATAATTTATACCTTTATAATTGTAGTACATAGAGCCCGAGTTGGGTGGTTTTTTTATGTCCACGTGTTTGCCATCTATAGCTCCCAAACAATTACCGAAATTCCATTTGTCATTAAAATCACTCGCAACAATTTTCCATGCTTCAGGAGTCTGCGGAAGCTATAAAAATTTACTAATTAATATAAATTGCCTAATCATTTACACAGTCCCATGATAAATAACAAAATAACAACCTAATAAAATAGTTTTATTTTTACTTATTTTGATAAAGTTATTTACATTTACAATATTTTAATGACGTATTAGTAAGACATTAAAAAAATATTTTTTATGTAATTTTTCGATTTATATTTAAGGTACCAAACAATGACTCTAGTGAAGCAATTCAACATACAGAAAATGCAGTTCCTACACCAAAAAAATCCAAATCATCTATCAGTCAACAAAATGAATTACTTTCACTTGCGTGTAATTATTTATCAAAAGAAGAAAATATACAAGATTCAGATTTAGACCAGACCAAAGTTTGGGCAAATACTTTAAAAACCCCGACTCCTAATCAAAAAGTATTTGCTCAGAAGGCGATTAATGATATTTTGTTTGAGGCACAGCTTGGAACTTTGCACAGAAACTCAGTCAAAATAAACGAAGAAGACTGCACTAGTACATCTACTCCAATGACAGTAAATAATTGGAACGAATCTTCAATTGATACAACGCAATCACAGGACTATGTTTTGACACAAACAAATTTACAAAATTTCTATGGCAACTGGAATGGAAGTGATGTTTAATATTAATACTAAATTGTGACTTTATTTAATAACACTGATTGCTCATATAAATTATAAAGACTGTAATAATGTTAAAGACTAAAGCATGGTTGTAAAATTAAAAATAAATATATTGTTTAAGTTTTGTTGTTTAATAATTTAATATAAAACTGTTAATTTTGTCTAAAAATTTGAAAAAAATATATATTGTTTATCTCACATAAAAATATAAAACTACTTTAAATTTAAAAGTAAAATAATGTTTTATATACCTGAATAAGATCCTTGAGTACAGTAACAATAGCTTCACATGTCTCAATTACAATCATGCTTATTGTTGTTGGTGATATAATAGAAGAAAATTTTAAATCTTCAAATGAACGTCCAGTCACCAAGTATCTCAAAGTAACGGCAAGCCTTTCGTTTGCAGAAATACTGTCTCTCATATTCGTATCCATTTTGGTTATAAATGGTCTTAGCATGATTAATAGTTGATTATAAATAACATCACTCATACGAAAATAGTTTTGATAATCTTTTGGATCAGATAATTTTATTTCATTTAAAATATTTAAGTGAGTGTAAGACTTTTCGTTTAGCAATCCATTCTTTTATCCATCGTTTACGTTTTATCTGCTTTTTTTTTGTTACAGAAAGGGCGATTATAATTGCAATGCACGCCTTTTTCTTATCCATTTTTGTAAATTTAAAAATATTTGTACTATTTAAACTAATTAATAATTTACAGTATCTATAGACAACAATCGATCTGAACTATTGTGAAAGTAAAAAAAACTGAGTATTGAATGTAATTTGTAATGAACGTTTGAGGACTATACTGTCAGTTATGAAAATACTGTCAATATTTATATTGTCAGTAATATTGATCGTGTGAGGGCCGCTTTAGATAGGTCTTTAAATATTCTCTAAGTGTTAGGATCGAACTCTAAACTGAACTTGGAATTGTCCATAAATTTAAATGCGTAATATATTATATAAACTCCACAATTAAAAGCATCATTTTGTTTTGGGACATTTTCAAAAGGGCATGGAATCTGTGTTAATGATGGACATTCACGTGTGCCGTCACCGTAGATGACATCTGATTTCAATATTTTAAATACTCTATTGAAATGATCTTTTGATGCTCGACTCTCTGTATCATATGGACTAATCGGGTCCATGAT